TTTTTTATCTTTGTTCATATAAAACCCAAGAGAATTTCAAACAAATGTTTTTATTATGGTTCTAAGGGGGGGGTATAGGTATACTCCGCGGCCCTCAACCTACCCGTCACGTCTTCCCCGTCCTGTGCGCCAAGGACGTCGAGCGGGCACAGGTCCAAGGGCATTCTGTTTCTTCGGTCTCTTTCTTTGTACGCACAGATACATTTTTTAGCTATACGTAGAGTTATGTATCAGTATAATGCTCATGTATGTATGTATTCATTCATGCATGTGTGTATGTTTGCGTGTTTGTGTGTTTGTATGATTGTATGTTGTTTTTTTGTTTGTTTGTTTGTTTCTTTATTTGTTTGTACGTATGTATTTATGTATGTATGTATGTATGTATATATGTATGTTTTTTGTATGCACATATGTATGTATGTATTTATGTATGTATGTATGTATGTATTTATGTATGTATGTATGTATGTATGTATGTATGTATGTATGTATATGTGGATGGTCGGATGGTCGGATGGTTGGATGGATGAATGAATGGATGCATGGATGGATGAAGGGATGGATGGATTGATGGATTGATGCATTGATGGATGGATGGCTGGCTGGATGGATGGATGGATGGATGGACGGATGAGTGCATGGATGGACGGACGGATGGATGGATGGGTGGGTGGATGGGTGGATGGATGGACGGACGGATGGATGGATGGGTGGGTGGATGATTGGACGGATGGATGGATGGATGGATGGACGGACGGACGGAGGGACGGAGGGACGGAGGGATGGATGGATAGATCTGTGATCCATAGCTGTGCTCATGTACTTGTACGTTCGTGTGTTTTGTTTGCAATGCCACACTGTGCGAGCGGCGTCTTGAAATTCCCACGCCTCGCGCCAGCAGTGGTTCAACATCGCGCAACAAGATGGGGTCAAGCCAGCGAACTCAGTCGCCACAGCTCGTTTCGTTTGAGCCAGCAGTCAGGATATTCAGACCTAGCCTTCGGCTTGCTGAGGCCAGACGTGTACAGCTACACGCTGTTCCTCGGCGAAAGTTGCCGCATGGCATCATGATCCTGAAACTAGGTGACTGGGCTCACATACTTCAGGATGATCTCGGCTTGTGCAAAAGTCGGACGCGTTGGAGAGGCGAGAAGATGGCATGAGCCCTGGCCAGGGCGGCGACGTTTGTGGGTTGCATTTCGGGACGTTTGGGGCTTGCGCACCTAGAGGTTCAACTCTCTAGACCGGCAGCCCATGACCATGAGACTTAACTTCTCTTGAACTCGCCAACGAACACGAGTGCCTTACTAGGGCGATTGTGTACTGCGAGTATGATAGAAACTCTAAGGCTGGAAAGAATGGCCTGCCACTCAGTTGTGGCCCTTGGTGCAACATCTTCCTGTGTTTTAGGGCTGTAAGTGTTGAGGGATATTTCGGCTTCTGGGACTGCGAGGAGTCTCGAAGCCCTCGAAGCCCTTACTGTTACCTACAGGCCCCTTCCGAGACCACACATAGAGCCCCCTTGGTCTTTCGACTCCGTCTTAAACTCCTCAGCTCCCAAATCCGAAACCCTGAGTCCTGCGGCGCTCTTCTGAGGAAGGGACCGGTGTCAAGCCGAACGTGGTGACCTACACAGAAGCGATCAAAGCAGGCTCCAGATCTGGGCAGGGAAGTTTCAGATGTTGCGTGTTTGTATGCGTATACATCGTACATATGAGCAGTCGTCAAAACTTAGTAATATGTAGTTTAGTCTAGGGCGGGCATCTGGATGTAGAAGATGAGTAAGCCGTAAATCTCTGTAAAGCGACGGGAAATCCTGAAAAGCGATCCCACTGAATCTTATGGTCCTAAGCCATAGATTAAACATGATTAAACCAAAGTAAGCCCTGTCCTTATCCTCTCCTAAACCCTACTGGGCCTCTGACTCAAAGCTCGAGCGGGAAACGGGCTTGGGGTCTTCGAAACTGGAAGTTTTGTCGGCCTGGCCGGGTTCGGGTTTACGCCTTAGGGCGTCGGGTTCGGCAGATGCACCTTCCTTTCCTTTGCCAGCACTTCTAAATTCCAGGGTTTAGTTTGCGGTTGTTTGCTATGTTTATTGCCGTCGGACTCCTGTGTCCTGTAGGTTCTGGTTCGCGGCTGTTTGTTACTTGTATGTTTATGGCTGTCGGACTTTGCTGTTGTTTGCTATATGTCTACTTGCGAGTTCATATACACAAACATAAATACAAACATAGATACAAATAGAAGTAAGGCATATGCATGCATGCGTGCATGTATGTAAGTGTGTGTATCTCTATCTATCTCTCTCTCTATATGTCTATATGTACAGTTCTTATAAGCAAAACAGATGGACACACAAATTAAAGACACACACATGTATGTATGTATGTATGTATGTATGTATGTATGTATGTATGTATGTATGTATGTATGTATGTATGTATGTATGTATGTATGTATATATATAACACAATCAAGCATAAACACAAGCACACGCATAAATTTTGAACATGCATATCTAGTTCCAGATCTACATCTAGATATAGATCTAGATCTATATCTGATATATATATATATATATATATATATATATATATATATACATACACCTATTTTAATATGCATGTGTATGTATATATGTATGTTTATATATATATATGTCTATATATAGATGTGTGTATATATATATGCGTATATATATATGTACATGTATATATATATATATATATATGTATATATATATATATATGGGTGTGTTTGTACCTCTGTGTACATGTGTGTATATATATACATATATACATATATACATATATATATATAGATAGATAGATAGATATATATATATATATATATATATATGGTAAGCCCCCCCCTCCCCCCCCCAGGACCAACCTCGACCATTGTCCTGCTCATTACTGTCTTCACAGCGTCATGGATAAGAGCCGAAACCACTGTAAATACCGATGGTGTTAGTGTTCCCGTACAAAGTTTGCACTCTCGACGCCTCTTGACAGACTGGTAAAAAACAGGGTTCAGTTTTATGGACACCATTTACACTTTCGGCGTTTCTTGTCGGAATGGTAAAAGACAGAGTCCAGTTTGTGTGCCTCATCCTTTACTAATTATCGTCATCTTGTCAAAGTCTTATTCTTAGTTTCAGTTTTCAAAAACAGTGTTAACATTGGTATTGACTTATTTTTGTTCTAAGTTTTAACCTTAATTATTGTGAGTAGTAACCTTAATATTTTTGCTAGCGTTAGCATTAGTATTATTTTTGTGTCATTACAAATTTTAGAAGTTCTAGCAATGCTGCTGGTATCTGTCCAATATTGCTGTTCGTTTGATTAGTGTTCCTGTTAGTGCTGATGCTGGTGTCAGTGTCAACGTCAGTGTTAGTCTTAATATTGATATGAGTATTAGTGCTCCAGTTTTAATTCAATATATGTCTATAGCAGTTTCAGTGTTAGTGTTCGTGTTAGTATTCGTATTAATATTAGACGTGGGCTGGGCCTTAAAACTTAGTCTTAGTACATTATGTGTATCACTATTCATAGGTGTATATTCAGTATATTGGTACAAAAACAAAACATGTATATTAACAAAAACAGTTTTCAGTATACTCGTATATTGGTATATTAGTAACAATGGTCTATTGGTATATCAGTTTCTCAGTATATTAGCATATGAATTTATTAGTATATTAGTATAATACTATAACCATACATATTGGTAAATGAAAACATTGAGTTTTTAACAATCTGATGCATTCATTTTCCTGTGCCTTATTCTGATGTATTCTTTAGTATTCATTATAAAAACGATATTGACATTAATATGATGTTTGTAAATTCATATTGGTATTGATATGAATATGAGTATGTAAGCCACGACAGCAATACCTCCAGCCCCAAGACGGGCACGGTCGTGGCGGGCCTCAGTCTTTTCAGCGTTGGGGTGCGAAATTGCTCTACATTAGTGAGGGTGTCATCTGCTTGGGTTTGCAGATTGGTGCCTGTCTTTTGCTAGAGGGAACAGCTACCTTGTACGGACAGCTTTGGGCCTCCACCGGCCCAATGGGGGCTCTCTACATCATGCTCGCGCGCTTCGGCGAGTTCGCTTGGTGGTTATGGGACTGGTGGCATTTGTCGCGATGTCCTTGGCCCGCTTGCTTCGGCGATCGGCTTCTTTCTTGCTGTGGTCCAATTGGGGTCCTTTGCTTCATGCTTGCCATCTGCGGTGATATCCTTTGGTGGCTGACGCGTTGGGGCGTGTCGTGCTGGCGACACGGTGGACAGACAGATCAAATTCGAGGCGTCGGCGGTCCTCATCGGGGTTGCGATGATGGCTGGCGCAAAGTTAAGCATCATGTGCGAGGCAGGCTGCGAGCTCAGTTGCGTCGCTCGGTCTTTCTTTGGGGACCTGGTCGCGCTCCACTTGCGGGTGCTGCTGGAGGATTTGGGCATCAATCCCTCCGGCGTCTTCTACGATTGGTTGTGGCCTCCGGTGCCCGGCGTGTGGGATGCCGGCGTTATGGATGGTCGCGACTTCGCCGACGTGGCCTGAGACGACTTCGTAGGACTGACTTAGCATGGTGCAGTCGTCAGTACTTGTTGTTTGCCCCTGGTACATGTCAGAGACTGCGAGCCTTTTTATCTGACGGTGATGGGGGTGGGTTGCGACGTGTGCGTCGTAAGGGTTGTATCTCAACTCGCAGTCTCTGGCGTGCCAAGCGGCGTTGTGCCCATAAGCTGCGCATCGCTGCTGATGATATGAGTAGAGAGCAAGAGAACACCAAGAGCTTGCAAACCCAGATACAAGGGGACCGGACCCGAGTACCGAGAAAAGATCAAGAAAATGAAATGCAGAGGCCAAGGGGCCCAGATTGTGTCAGTGGGGATGAGCACCCTGACACTCCTACCGGCCCTTGTGGGCCTAGGGCCCGTGCTTGTAGGCTGCGACCGTGCCGACGCTATGGTGGGCTGCCTCAGTCCATTGATGGCATGGGCAAGAAGCTTCGATGGTTGCTTGTGGTTGGCGGCCTCTGGAGATGTGGCCCTCACGAGCTCTATGGCAAGGACGTTGGGCTTCCTACATTTGTTCATGCAGGTTGGGGAGGTGATGATACATGTAACTCCTCTGCAGTTGCTTTTAGTTATGGTCAGCTTGCTGGTGCGAACCTTTTGGGCGCTTTTGCTGGCGAGCCTTTTAGAGACGCCAATGCCGTCTTGGACATTTTTGCAGGTGTGACCTGTTTGGGCCGTTTCGGCCTAATGCACGTTGATGGTGGATTTGTGGCGAGTGCTGATGCTGAGTCGCTGCCGGCTTTATCGCTTCGATGGGACAGATTCTGGCGGTGCCGAGTTGGAGAGGCCAGTAATCCTGGCCCTGCCGGCAGGGCAGCGAAGTTGCGGAAGCAACTGGGCATCCCGAAACCCGTTTCTAGGAAAGACATTCAGAAGGTGTGTCGGGATGTGCTTCGAGGTCTATTGCAGGAATTGGGTGGCCAATGGCAGCCCTCTCCGATGGTTTCTGCTGACCGCGCGTGGCACAATTGGTGCGAGCGCGACCAGTGGGATGGCTACTACGAACATGGTCCCGAGTGGAGCGACCCTCAGGCCACTCCGGCCTCCTGGTGAGATACCTGGGATGATGGATGCGCTGATGGCGACGTTGTGTCTGCTACTTGGAAGGAGCCCGCTCGGCATGATGAGCGGAGTACCCAAAGAGTGTCCTACTATGCTAGGGCGCCTGCTGCAGCTTCCGATGCTTGGAACGATGTGGTTGAGCATGATTGGTGGCATGACTCTGCCACGGGGCAGGCGGCTGGGCAGAGACGGCGATGGGCCGATCTTCTGGATGATGAGGTGCCTTCTGCACCCCATGCTTCCACCGAAGCTGCGCCCAGTGATCGCAAAGCACGCTGGCGCAAACCCAGGACACATGCTCCCACTGGCGAGGGGACTCCCTGGACTTTGGAGGTTAAGGCATGGTCTGCGAATTCGCCGATTGGTTTTGCCACGTCTGCCTCCACCTTTGCCAAGGAGCTCGACGAATCTAGTAGTGTGGCCTGGGTGGTCACTGCCAGCTCGGTTGAGGAGGCAGAGGAGATCTTCGATATCTTTACTGCAGATCAAGATGATGAACACACTGTGGACATGTCCCTTTTGTTTCCAGTGTCGGGGGACTCCACTACTTTACCAGAATGGGCGGAAGGTGCGCAGCTCGTGACTGTTCCGGGGCGTTCAGCAGGCAAGCTATGCACTAAGAAGCATTGGCTGGTAGTGGGTGGGACCGCGCCACCGACCCTCAATACGCGGTCCACTGAGGCCTTCGTCGTTAAGAGACCCCCACTGTCAGTGTCAGCTTTGCGTGCATTCACCACGGTTGTTCGGGTCACTTTCGACAGGGCATTTGGCGAAGATGCATGGCCTGAGGTTCTTCGCACGCCCTCGCAGCATGCGAGGTGTTGGGCCGGAGCCGTGGGAATTTCATTCGGCTTCGTACGCGAGAGGCGGCCGTCACCATGTGGAAGGCCTCGGGGCAACTCAGCAATGGCACCAGGTGGTTTGTCGATTTACTCGGGGATGCCAGAGATGACCCCTCCGTTGCTGATGTAGGAGTGGCCTGGATGCCTTGGAGTCCTGAGGAATCCTACGCGAGTTATGCCAGCCGTGTTGCAGGCCAGGCTAAGCTCGGTGTCGTCCTAGGTAGGGGTTTGGGATTGCGCTTGAAGCGGTCTGATCCTGCCTTTGTGAGACAACCCTCCCTCTGGAGGCTTCGAGCTGTTCCGCGTAATCTTCTGTTACAGGATGTTACGGAGTTGATTTCTGCCATGGGATTCGAGGATGCTGTTGTGTGCACTCGACATCACAACCGAAAGCATTATGACTGGTGCTTCAAAGCGACGAGGCAGGATCAGTTGCAGGTTGTCACCCAGACTGTGCAGTGGAACCCTGAGTGTTGTGACCTTTCGGAAGTCACTGCCATCAAAGAGCAGGCAAGGCGGGGTACGCGCTCAAGGCCCACCGAGCGCCTTGCTGAGCCGCGAACAATTTCCTTTAATGCCCCTCCCAAGCCCGGCTCAGGTTCATCTGCTGCTCGGCGGCGTGTTACTCTTGATGATTTTCCTGCCAAGGCTGCGTCCGCGCGTCGATCGTCCCGTGCGCGGCGTGATCCGGGAGGATTAACATCTGTGGTTGCTGATGCTGAGCCTCCCTCCACTGAGGTTAGTCGTGCTGTGCCCGGTGAGGCCCTGGACCCTCAGGAGCGCACTGGACCAGGCCTCAAACGCCCCGCTGATCATGATGCTGCTGCTGTTGACGGCGAAGGCGGACAGGACGCGGTGTGGCGCCTCAATGCATGAGAATGATGCGGGTGGTAATTGCTTCTACTTGGCTTTGGCTGTCTTGGACACAGGCAACAAACCGAGGCATCACAGACAGATCAGACGATGGATCCACCAGCTCTTACTGCATCATGCGCCTGAGTGCAAGACTACTTGGGAGCAAGGTGGCTGTTTCAATACCGTGGGCAGGGCTCAAGGCTCAAGCTGTCACCTGGGAGGATTTCCTTGCCGAGCAATCCCAGAACTGTTCCTGGGGCGGTGCGTTGGAGTTCCACATTTTCTGTAAGGGTCTCGACATGCGAGGTTGGCTCATTGACGATGGTGGTACCGTGTATTCCTTCTTTCCTGAGGGTTGCAAGGGCTTTCTTGTTTTGCACTTTGATCGCGAGCGGCAACATTTCAGGGCCTTCACTGAGGTTGTGGAGCAGCATGTGCAAGCCCGTCACAAGGCCACTGGTGCTTTGACTTACGGTCCTTCGATGCTGCTTCGCGGTGGTGCGGGGACCTTGCTCCCTACGCTCTCGGATTGTGCTGATGACGACTCGGTGTCGCTTGACACCGCCCCTAACGCTGGCTGCTCAACGGCCGGTCCCGAGCAGCTGACTGACTGCAGTCCTTCAGCCCAGCACGTGGCACCTTCAGTCCCACCCGGTGAGACCTGAAGGATTTCCGAAAACCCTTCAGCCCACCGCGTTGCACCTTCAGTTCCACCCGGTGAGACCTGAAGGATTTCCGAAAACCCTTCAGCCCACCGCGTTGCACCTTCAGTCCCACCCGGTGAGACCTGAAGGATTTCCGAAAACCCTTCAGCCCACCGCGTGGCACCTTCAGTCCCCCGACTGCCCTAAGTCCGCCTGGCCTTCCCCTGCTGCTGTGTCGGAGGACCCCGCGCCGGGCGGTCCTCAACGGCTTTCGGAAGGTGTGGGGCGTCCTCGACTCTGCCTCTCAGACTGCGCCTCCTCGGACGGCACTGCTACGGGTCTTACCTTTCCTGTTGCTCTTGCGCGGGCTGCTCGGGCGGTTCGTCGGGTTACGCTTTCTGAGTGCGCCTCTGAGACCCCACTCCCTGGTTGGCAGCCAACTCAACGGACGGTTTACGAGCGGCTCTGCAATGGTCTGTTCGAGCCTGCCTCTCTTCGTGATCTTCCCTCTGTCAAGCAGGTTGTTGCTGAGGCTTTTGTGGGGGATGCCAATCAAAAAAAAACTTTTTTTCAATCAAAAAGCAGCTTTCTGGCGCCGAGGTCATTGACGTCATTGCCTTCGTTGAGATCGAGATTGCCGAACTCCAGCAGGACCCTGAGGTTCGTCCCTGGTCCGAGGAGCAGTGTGCACATATTCGATCCATCTTTGAGTGTTTGCGGCAGGCCTTTTCCTCTGGCTCCCCAGAGGATGCATGTGAAGCGACTGTGTACATTAGGCTAGGGTTGCCCGTGCCTGCTATTGTTGCTGCTGGCTGCCACGATTCTTGCTCAACGGCCGGTCCCGAGCAGGAGTGCCCTGGTCCCGACCCCGCTAGGCGGTTCCCCTCTTTAAGTGACTGCGCTTCCTCTGATAGGGCTAGCGGCTCTCGTAAGCGTTCGCATTGCTACGAGTTGTCTTCTGCTGAGAGTAGGGCGCTGTGCACTGTTGCTCCTTTGCCATTAAGGCGCATCAGAGGCTCCTTGGACGACTTTGGCTGCCATTGCTCAGCATGATCATCGCAGTACTGGCTCACATGGTGGTGGTCGGGATTCCGATTCGGAGTGTGCTAATGATTCTTGCGAGGCTGGTCTGCCGAAGCTCGCTGCTTACTATGCGCGGGGTTCCTCACATAACCTTGCCTTTGTAGGAAGGTGGGCTCCTTTGTCGAGCCGTGTGCCCACTGCCCGCACGTCTTTCGCACCTCCACGGCTCAGGCTCTTGCGAAGCAGAGATATGAGCATTACCGGAGGTGGCATCCCGATGTTCCGAGGCAGCATGGCCGTTTCATTGGAAGGACCATCCCTTTGGTCGAGCTGCATGAGCAACAATCTGCTGATTGGAAGTGTCCTTTGTGCAATGTTGGCATTGCTTTGGGAGGCTGCTCCGGCTTCTCTCGTAATGTCATTAAGAACACGAAACATTCGCATCGACTTGAGGCTCACCCCACTTACAGCAAGCTGCAGTTTAACAATGCTTCAAAGAGCAGGATCATGAAGGGAGGTGCACATGCCATGCGCAGTCGAGTTGTCACTCTGAATCGGCAACTTAGTGTGCGTAAAGCCAAAGACTGCACTCTTGGGCTCGAGGGTTATTCGGCCTTCACGTGGCCGCGCTTTGACATGAAGAAAGGCAGAAATCGTCTTCACCTTCATATGGCTTGGAGGTGTGACACTTGTCTGCGTTCTTTCAGGGCTGCTACTTGGGCTCGGGCTCATGTTTGCGAGACTGCCAACCCTGAGACGGTGAAGCGCCGACAAAAGCAGGTCGCTGCGATTTGGGAGCAGTGTCGTGGCAGGGCTCATGAGCATGGTGTCGATGATAAGACTTTGCGGGAGGTGGTGGATAGTGCCATCATGATGCTTGGGGGTCATTTTCCGCCTTCATGAACATCCGCATCGCCACCTTAAATGTGAACCGTGCCGGCTCGCCCGAGCTGGCGGGCATCGTTGACATTATGCGATCCCGGGATACAAAGTGTGATGTGCTTTGTCTTCAGGAGTTGGATGTGCCTGAGGGCTCTGCGGCCTCTTTCATGGCTGCCTGTGCTAAGTTCGGGTTACACCTCTATTTGGCTTCGGCCACTCAGGGGCTCTGTAGGACTGGCATCTTGTCCAAAATCCCTGGACGTGCTGTCAACTTGCACACCGACGGACCGGTCCGCTGCAACTCTGCTGTGTTTGAGCTGTGGGCTGCCAACCAGTACTCCAAGGTGCTGGTTACGTCCATCCATGCCACTCCTTCGGATCGTGCCCTTGCTCTTTCTGATGTGCAACGGTCTGTTGCCGCTTCCAAGGAGACTGGCTTCGAGTGGGTAATCTTCGGTGATTTCAACTTGGATCCGCAGGACGACGTCGAGATGAGCCAATTCCTCTCGCAGGGCCTGGCTTGGCATTGGGATGAGCCCTTCTCTCAGCTTCCTGCTACGCGTATCAGTGGCAAGCGCCTGGATTATGCGATTGGTTCCGGGAGGGTTACTCCGACGTCGGTTTTTCAGGCTTGGACGCTTTCTGATCACGCATTGGTTGGGTATGAGGTGGACTTCTCGAGCCCTTCTGGTTGCTTCGCTCCTCCGCGGCGACCTTTGGCACGGGATGTGGTCTCTGACGAGGCTTGGCAGCAGGTGTGGTGCAATGGTCCCCTCTTCGACGCCCTCCTTTGCGAAAATCGGATGGATGAGGCATGGTCGTTACTGTCTGACGCTGCTGAATGTGCTCTGGCGGTTGATGGCGCCCGGGCGCACCGGGCGGGCATGTTGCGGTCTTCCTTTTGGCAGCCTACGGCCCGCAGACCTGTCTCGAAAGCCGCGCGTGGGGTTGAGCCTTTGGTCACTGTTCAGCTGCGGCGTCTTCACCGTCGTCTTCTTCACCTTCGGCTTCACCCTTGTGAAACGGCGCTTCGATCCACACACTCGTTTTGAGGGTTGGATCCTTGGGGGCTGGATCAGGGGGGTTTGAAGGCCAAAACCAATTTCCTCAATAGTGCAGTTCAATATACCGATTTAAGGTTTCAAGCTGTTGTAGTATTAGCTTATTTATGTATTTTATTAGGAATTTCAGTGCCGGGGGCACGGCCGTTGACCAAAACATTTTAAAGCACACTGGGAAGCCAGCGTGAGGAAACCTTTTTTTGCCAAACATTTTTGCATTTGTCCAAGCCGGATGTATTGAGCGATGGTGTTCGCTTCTGTCCAAGCCGGATGTGTTGGAAGCTGAAACGTGGTCCTTTGTCACGTGCCACTGCTTGGTTGGCTTGGTTGCTTGGTTGGCTTGCTTGGCTTGCTTGGCTTGCTTGGCTTGGTTCGACTCGCCCTACCCATCCTGCACGCCCAAGCTCAGAGTGGTCTTAGAGACCGCTCCAGTCGGGCTCGGACCACGTGAGCAATGGGTCCTTGATCCGTGCGGGACAGCGTCGCTGGCCGGGCGCTGGGGATTTACTCTGTGTGCTGCTCGCCTGTCCAGCCAGGTGGTGTGTCCGCCGCGGGGTGAAATGCACACAGATTGCAGGGAAGGCCTCGCTACTATTAATAAATACTATGCCACGTACCCACACCACGGTCGAAGTATTAACTTCGATCACTGCTGCTTGCCGGCATGGCCCCGCATGGCATCTTATGCTGTGCCTCATTGACAGGTCTTCAGTAACCGGCGCGTTGCGCAGCGATTCCGGTGCACTCGATGACGAGCATGACCTGTCCTCTTGCGGGCCGGTATGCAAGGCAATCGGATTTCAGCGCTCCGCATAGGGCAAAGACGGCGCATACTCAGCAGGGTGACCCCATCTTGGCCGAATGGGGGTGGCATTTAAAGAAGTCTCCAGTCCGCATGACTGTCAGAGCACACTCGTGTTTGCAAAGACGCTGGGGAGGCCGTTACTGTGTCGGCATGGCATTGCTTGGCTTGGTTGATTCGATTCTGCAGTGGCATCAATTCTGGTAGCATCAATCAATTGTGGTAGTCAGCATGGCATTGCTTGGCTTGGTTGATTCGATGCTGCAGTGGCATCAATTCTGGTAGCATCAATCAATGTCAATGGTGGTAGTCAGCATGGCATTGCATGGCTTGATTGCTTCGATTGTTGCGGTGGCATCTGATTCGATTTTGCGGTGGCATCAATTCTGATACCATCAGTTCTGGTAGCAGCAACTGTGGTAGTCAGCATGGCATTGCTTGGCTTGGTTGATTCGATTTTGCAGTGGCATCAATTCTGGTAGCATCAGTTCTGGTAGCATCAACTTGTCAATTGTGGTAGTAACAATTGTGGTAGCGCTAATTGTGGTAGCATGATTTGCGGTAGTATAACTATTGTGGTAGCATCAATGGCAAGGTCTGCCTGGCATGTTTTGACAGAGCCGGGGGGGGGCAGGGCTGGCATGAAATTTGCATTTTGCCAGGTGAAGTCGTTTCAGAAGGCATGTGAGTGTTATTTGCGCGGAAGGCTCAGTGAGTGTGTGTGTGTGTGTGTGTGTGTCAGCTTGCTTGGTGATTGATTGTGAGCCCCTTGTAACCTAATGCTGCAGTTCTGGCTCAAGTGGTCTGCCTGGCATGTTTTGACAGAGCCGGGGGGGGGGCAGGGCTGGCATGAAATTTGCATTTTGCCAGGTGAAGTCGTTTCAGAAGGCATGTGAGTGATATTTGCGCGGAAGGCTCAGTGAGTGTGTGTGTGTGTGTGTGTGTCAGCTTGCTTGGTGATTGATTGTGAGCCCCTTGTAACCTAATGCTGCAGTTCTGGCTCAAGTTGTGCTATGTCGAGTGTGGCCCTCCAGCATCTCCCTGAGGAATTGTGTCTCGAGGAGCAGGGCCAGGATCTCCGGAAAGCACAGCAAGCAATCTACTTGCTCTATTTGCTCTGCCCGAGAAAGGCTGTTGATCTTGTGACTCCTGCAGTACATTTCAGACAATTTCCAATTGAGAATAATTTGCTACCTGACATGTCATTGTTTCAATGCAACAACATTTGAGGAGATCTTTCAAACGGGGAAGAG